AGCAATATTTTCTAACGTCAAGCGCATCCATTTCTTCCAGTCAAAAGACCTTCGAACAATACTCGACGCCGTTTATATGTAACCAACAAAACCCTACATCATGATCTCAACATCCCATTAGTCCTAGACCTCATCCCAGAAAAATTCTCCGAATTTCACCAGAACCTTACGTATCATCCAAATCCTGTTGCACAATCCCTATCAAGCACCACCCATCCCTATAATCCTCCAAGAAGGTTGAAACGGCAGTGGCCTCGCGACCTTTTTTAGATTTTATATATTGTAGTTCTGGCAATGTCCAGATTTTCCTCTCAAGACATGGGTGTATGTGGCTAAAGTGCTCTCGATCAATCTCCGCTGGCTTTAGTACCAGTGAGGCGGTTGAGAGAGTAGAGCAGGGATCTCTTGGAGTTCCCTCGCCTGATTGTAAATATTGTATATAGGTATGCATGTGTTTTTTGCTTAGTTTTAATTTTCTTATTTTTAGGTTATTTTATTTTATTTATTGTATATACTTTTTGATTATTATTTATTGTTATTTGCGTACAGTGATCCTTAACTGGATTTTTTTGTCAGAATTCTATAACTCCATAATTTTTCATCAGGTTTCCTTGTTTCTTCGTTTTATAGCATACACATAGATGGCGTTACATCCTGTCACTGATACTGGGCATGCTCCAAAAGCTTTAGCCAGTCAATACGATCAGCTACAGCAGCTCTCCAGTTTCGGACTACCAGTAGAGCCCGTACGTCCGATGTCACTGAGTTCTTTCATTTTACATTTGGCCTGCCAACCTTTCTTTGTCTATGCATCTTTCCGGAGAGAATTTTCCAGGGAATCGCGGGATTATCGATACGGGGGATGTGAAGTTGTCCTGTCTTGATAAACTTCACCAAGTCTATATCCTTATAAAGGCAAGCGAATTCGACATTTCTCCTTCTTCTCCAAATTCCACACTCTCTAACATGAACAAAAATCCTTCAAGATTCATCTCTCAAAGATCAGAAGTCTATTTTCATCTTGGTTCTTAAAGGCTCTTGCTTCTGATCCATAAGTTAAAACAGGGCAGACCAAGGTTTTGTAGAGAGTGATCTTGGTCCTCATCAGGTTAGAGAGGAACCTGCTTCTAAAATGCTTCGAAAGGCTAAAGTAGCACCGTATCGCCGTTACTATCCTCCTGTTGAATTCTGGAGAGATGTCGTTTTCGGATTGATCTCAAACCTGTGGTAGACAAAGCTGCATACATTTTCGAAATTATATGGTCCAGCCACAAAAGAACCGGTCCCTGACTCATCTCCTTCGAATCTCATATACTACTAGGATGCTTCAGCCTATCCGCCCGACTGGGAAACAGGCTACGACACCATTGACAAGGAAGTACGTAAAATAAGGCGGGATATCGCAGGTTAAGCTCGCATCGCTTCGCGGTTGATAATAACGCCAAGTCTAAACCATAATGTGTGTAAACCAGGAGAAGACAAAGTATATGAGAGTTGGACCAGAAGTGGATACAGCGGACCAGCAACCGGTGCTGATGGGCCAATCAATGTTCCAAAACGTCGACCAGTTTGTGCACCTGGGTTCAGTGGTGAGTTGTGGAAAATGGATCTACATAGAAACCAGTCAGCGACTCATCAAAGCCAATAGGTGCTATTTTGGTCTCAGAAAGCATCTGAGAAGTTGTTACCTATTCCGCCGTACTAAGTGCTCTTATATAAAACTCTTAGTAACATATGGCTCAGAGACCTGGACCCTCACCGGTAATGAGGAGAGAGAAATTCTTATATTCGAAAGGAAAATTTCCCGACGAATATTTGGACCCGTAAGAATTGGATAGGACTGGATACGGAGGACAAACAACGAAATTTAACAACTTTATGGCTAGAGTGACATAATTATGTTTATTAGGTTGGTAAAACTGCGGTGGGCTACCCACGTTGCACGTATGCCGAAAGTAGAAATACCCAGGAAACTGCTGGATGTTAGGTTTCATCGTAGAAGACGAAGACCGCGTCTCAGATGGCAGGACACTGTTACCAGAGATGCCCGCAACCTACTCAACATCTCCAACTGGCGAACGGCGGCACAAGATCGAACTACCTGGCGAAGATTTGTCGAAGATGCTAAGAACCACATCGGTCTGTAGTGCCAAGGAGTAGTATGTAAGAAGTTACAGGTGAAATATTGCAGAAATTCGTTAAAGTGAGCTGGTGCGGATTGCTAATTAATATGACAAGAGGTCAGGACACTAGACATGATGGAGAGGGAATAGGAAAATATGATGGAAAGGCGCTGAAATATAATTAGTACAATTTGAAAAAATAAATAACAGCTGAATAAAAAGGAAAAAAATAATAATAAACAAAAAAAAAATCTATCAGAAAAAAATGATAAAATAGAAGAATTGCATTAGTTTTGCTGAAGAAAAATTAGTAATAAAATTAGTAAGGTTTGTTTATACATAACAGCAGTAAGATTTAGAGCAGCAGACTCTTGAGCTAGCAGACTCTTGTCGATCAGCGAGTTGACGGATTCCAGATTGTTAGACGAAAGTATCTATTTCTTGAGGTTGATCAATATAGATCACCGGATAGCCCTCTTCTTTTCGGCATCGAACTCTGCCGCCAGCAGACTAGAAGTATTTGCCTGCTGCTCTTTTGTGACGGGCAAGCCAGTGCAGACGTCTGTTCATAGGGGTCATTTGTTCAACGAGATAAATCTGGTGGTAGTCGTTTTTTTTCCAACCGATATCCCGAATAGAAAAGTCCCGTTTTACCTTTCTTAAGAGCACTAATTCGTCTCTTACCGACTGCCTCACTAAACTAGCGATTACGGGCGGCGGTCGAGGATCATCTTTTCTTGGCCTCTGTCTCCCAACAAAGTCGAGGTCTTCAGCGCATACCTTAATCCCGAGACCGGCTCTCACGCTGGTTGCAGGGTCGAGGGTTCTCTCCAGCGCGTATTGGGATGCCGCGAATTTCGAATGATCTACAAAGTAGATCCTGTATCGCTCTGTTTAGGCGCACCTCCATTTCGTCCTCTCCAGATTTTAGCGCCTTATTTTCTGGAGCTAGTTCTTGAAGGCGCTTTGCTTTGGCCTCAAGGTGGCCTTCTATTTCTGTAGACGTGTCATACTGTTTGAAACTCAGTTCACCGTATTTTTCAAGGTATACTTTTAGGTTTTTTATGTACTCATTGACCTGAACACTAAGCTTATTAACCGCCGAGAGAATATCGAATGAGGAGGGTTCTTCAGTGTCCCTTCTGTATGGATTAGCCAACTTTTGTCTAACTGGAGCAGCCTTTTAATCTCCTTACATTTTTGGAATACTTTTTTTTTTAGATTTTAGAACCTCAATCTGCCTCTCATTGTAAATGCAGCATTTGTCGTGAACAACAACGCGCCATTTATTACAACACAAATTATATTTGTCTTCTCTAGCCGTCACAAATTGAATAGAGCACCGTTTCGTTATAAAATTAAAAAAATGTTTACTCACGAACGGCACTTTTTGTCAATAAAGGCGTGTTAATAGTTCATAATGTACTTTGACTCAGAGGGATCGACATAATGCTCTTCGATGTTCTTCCGGTTGTACACGTACTTTCTTCTATGTTTTTTGAAACGAAGAAAACTGAGAGATGCGGCTATACTAAATTATGAACCAAAAATAACTTTATAAGAAATAAATATAAAATTGGCCGTAATGATAGAATTTACAAAAATAACAACGAATCACGGTAACGATACGCACTCTTTGCCGTCTCTGGCTTGACTGATTATTATTAGTATGTAAAATATTATGCACTTTGCCCTCTGGATATTTTTCATTTAGATCCAGTTTGCTGTTAATGAATAAGAGAGCGGAGTATTGAAAATTAAACGACTCAACTTTGTACCTACGAAAAAACTTTATTTAGCTTGAATGACGGAAATGAGCACAAAGCGTTTCTCTCATCAGCTAAACCATATGTAAAAGAAGTCTGGGTGGAATCTGTAGTAAGTAAAGATCAGAGACAGAAGTTAATTTCCTGTCACTATTGTGGAGAAACTGGACATTTTGTACGGAGACACTAGCGGATCCAGGATTTAATTTTTGGGGGGGGGGGGCTTCAGCCCGGAAGCTTTTCTTTAAAAAAAAAAAAATAACGATAATTAGTTTGGAAAAACAGAAAGAAACTAAATACCTATATGAAATGATGTTTAAGTGGTCCTTTAAGTCCTTTTAAATGTAATTACACGAACATTCATACTTTAAGAGGCATTTAAAAAAAAAAAAAAAAATCCATTAAACATCGTTATATTTTACCATTTTGGGGGGGGGGGGGCTTCAGCCCGAAAGCCCCCTCCCCCGTAGATTCGCCAGTGTACGGAGATGTCGTAAGTGGTTGGCTGATGGGAAGCCTCCCAAAGGCAGCAGAGTCAGTTCTGGTAATCCAACTGTTGGTGGTAAACACGACCGTTATACCAGTCTCAACAGCCAATGATCAGAACACAGATAGTAAGTTGACTATGGTGCAACCAACCACGCTCTGCTACCATAACCTGCATGTATTATATATATTTACGAATAATTTCTACACATCTGATTTTTTTTTTTACATTTATATTAAATGTAGAAACATAGAAATTTTTTAGATTTTTTCTGTTAAAACATATTACATTCTTAACATCAAAATATGAGATATAGAAATTATAAAAGAAAATGAACCATGTACAAATAAATAAAAAATAAGTATGTTTGTAAATTTCTTATCCGAGGACCAGTTTCTAATCAGAGGACAGGATCCGTTAGGACCCGTTTTTATATCTAAATAATGATAAAGAAATTGAATTAGATTATTGCATACAAAATTTAAATTGCATAAATTTATGAAAACATAATATAACTTGTATAATTAATTTTTGTTAAAAGCAAGAAAGTAGAAATAACTTGTAAGGAATAACGGTTTATAATCTATCATATGTTCCCAAGGCCTTTTGTTATCTGTCATTACATAAATTCTTCCATTAGTCCATCAAAGAGTAGCAATGCCTGAGGGTGGGTTAAGCTTCGACTCTTCAGATATAGAGGTAAAAAGGACTATTTCGTATTTTAGAGCTTTAATTTCAGCTAGTCTATTAGTTACTTGGTTACACCACATTACTTTTTACTGATTTCTGCTATTATTCTCTATTTCCTTTTTTTTAATCGATTATTATATGAAGTAGTAAATAATAAATACATAGTGATCTACACTAAATAATTTAACTTTCCGTATATGTTAACATGGTAGTAAATTTTGGTACTTATCTCATTTATCTACCCTTATCACAAAATATAGGACAAAATGTTTTTTTAATGGATGTTGTTAGTTGACTGTTTTGTAAATTTATAAATTTGTTCGAGAATTATAGTTATTCTGTAGGGCTGTGAAAAAAAGATACAAAGAATATGAAAATAATAATAATAGGGGTATATAAATGACAAAATAATTGATACATGAGGATGGTAAATTGATGAACCATTATAAGACCCAAGCATAAAAATATAATTGTAAAAAATGAAATATTTAATTAAATTCAATAAAACGAAATGTTGAGAGTCCTCATCTGACAAGCAGGAGAGGCCTGATGAAGGTCTGATTAAATACCGAAACTAGTAGTAAGGAAAGAATAAAAAAAAATATATAGGAGGACAACATCTCTTTTTGTTGAATTTAGATTTCACTCCTATCACATCGATCATCAATTCAAGAAAATATTTAATAGTAATAATTAAGTAAATGTAAATAAATAGCAGCAAAACATTAATACTGAAAAAAGCAATAACTGACAAGATAATGAATGGAAAATAATAAGTGTGATTGGTAGTAAGTGACAAATATGAAAATTCAGGTCAATTAACAAATAAGTACTTGTTTAATAACATAAAGTAAATATTAGGAGATTAAAGATATCGAAGATATCATGATACTGCCAATCTATGAGTGTTGCCACTACACTACAGAGTGTAATGACAACAATGGTAATAAAAGATAAATACAGATATTATCTCGAATCAGATATTGAAGAAGATAAAAACGATGTCTACTGGTCAGTGGCCAGAGAGATGGGCAAATGCCAAAGTTAGTACAGGGTCCTGAGTATTTTACTCAATTATTGACCTCCACAAAAAAATATTTAACAATAAGTTTTTTTTGACAAATAAACAATGAAGATTTTGTTTTTAATATGTTTTTGTTAAGCCCTTAAATAATCATGAAGGATTGGTTGCACACTCACATTTCAGGCATCAATCGGTTCAGCACAAACAGAGCTGTTAAAATCAATTATCGACTGTTATCTATCTCATATCGTCTGTCTTTTACGGAATTTTGTCCCCAAAAAGATGCTTTCGGTCCACTGTGGGGCGGCACAAATCTGCGCTACGCCACTGCCTGAGATGGACAAAGGCCGAAGTGAGTACTGAGTCCCTAGTATTTTACTCAATTATTGACCTCCTGATTCTGATTACTTTACTCATGTATTCAACTAGCCCGATTCTGAATATTTTACTCAAATGTTGAACTGCTCAACTCATAGTATTTAACTCAAATAGCTGACCTAGTCCACTTTGAGTACTTTACTCACGGCCTGTTATAAATTATAGTTTCAAGTACCAGATGTACATAACTAAACATATAAATTATATTGATAGAAACATTCCAAAAGATGGCAGCAACTGCAGTCTAGCTTTCATATCGCTCTGTATTTGCTACTGTGTTATGTGAAGTGCTGTTTTAAGACTTAATTAAAAGTTACTTTATAAAAAATTGTACATTTTTATGCTCACGGATACTAAGGTGAGTTGCTATTTATTAACATTGAACGTGTTATAAATTGGTGCTCATTTGGATAGTTAAAGTAGCAGGGAATTCCCAAGCGGGTCTAATCTTACTTGTGTTAAGTTCACGGCCAAGGCTCTATTTATAAATATTCAGTGCCTGGTCATCAGTTCGAAAGGCTTATACATACTTTTTTTCTGGAGACTGTTTTATTTTTATTTTTCCTTAATTTTATATTTTTAGAAATGTTTTAAATATGTATATAATTTGTTTTTTAAGTATTTAATTCGTAAATTCTCATCTTACTAACAGTCTTAGCTAGGTGTATGTTTTTTTTTATACTTCTTTTTTTAATTTCTCTTATCATAAATATGAACACTATGAATGTTGATAAGAACTCATCAAATGAAGAATCACAAGACGAGACGCCCTCTTCTGAAATTAGCGAAACCGACTCGCAATACTTGAAAAGTCGTACGCTTCAAAATCTTCACCGAAACTCTGTCCCTGGGTCGGGGGGCAACTCACCTAACAAGAAAAACAACAAATCGGCAAAACCCAAACAGTCAAATGAGTAAAATAAATCGACTAAATCATAACAGCCGAAACTAAATGATCACCTAATAGTTGAAGGAAATCAAATACCATAAACCCAGAGTCATCTGTACCAAATATCACAGTCAGCAAAAATCCTTTTCTACTTCTATCACATCAAACAAGATCTCGGAGCCTCAAGTTATGTCTGGCCCCGAGCCACCGCCTATATTTGTTTCTAAAATTGGTAATTTCTCATTTTGCCGAGAAATTGCAAATATTTTCGGACAAACAAATTTTCGATGTTTTTCCAGAATCAATGACGTTAAGATAGAACACAAATTCTAATGAAAATTATAAAATACTTACCTACTACTTAAAGACTAAAAGCTATGATTTCCATTGCAGCCAATTAAGAGAAGAAAAGACATATCGAGTGGTTTTAAGAGGTCTTCACTTTACTATCGCGATATCTGTTATCAAAACAGACCTAGAAGAAATAGGTCACAATGTCAGGCATATTTCCTGCGTACTTCACCTAATAGAAAAATATCCACTAAGGCTATTTTTGTTGATTTAGAGCCTGTCAGCAATAATATTGAAATATTTAATGTTAGAGGCTAGTACTCAACTGTTAAATTCGAAGAGCCGAGACGAAAACCTGTTATTGTGCAATGCACTAAATGTAAGATTTAGGACACACGAAGACCTAATGCTATCATCAGGTCTGGTGCGTTAGATGTCCCGGTTCACACGCTTCTGAAACTTGCCAAAAACCTCGTGATCAGCCTGTGAAATGCACTTTGTGCGTCGAACAACACCCTGCAAGCTACAGGTACTCAGAAAAAAACCTTTAAAAATCCAAATCCGAGTCGGAAAATGTCTACATTGGAAATCCGACACAATTCCCGGAATTATCCGAAACTACACACCAGCCTTCTACGTCGACAGTTGTCGATAATCTGGAATCCAGAAAACTGTAATCAAGTACCAAGAATAAGAATCAGCAGCCTCGACCTTAACAGACGTTCCAGACCTCCAAATCTAAATCCATCAATACTTCCGATTCTCAGTCTCGACCTCAACATCACGAAATTCCTATTCATCATCTACTCCTAAGAATCGAACTTCCGCCACAACACTCTCATCCATCCCATCCTAAGATCGAAACAAAATCTCCACAAATACCTTCGAATTGAGACCTACCTCGTACACAACGACGGGTCCTGCCATCAGCTAACACTCCTAACCATATTTATCACCCACCACAACATCCTAATCCAAATCCACTTTATAACCAACATCCAACAGAAATAACTTCTATTCTTACATCCTTCCTAGCTGATTTATAAGATACTAAAAAACCTCCAATCACTCTTCTTACCAGAATCCTGACCGAAATCCCGTTTAAGTTTCCACGATGAGTGCAAAGCTCCTAGCTATACTTTTATGGAACGCTAATCGACTACATAACCACCGTGACGAACTTTACATATTTCTTCACGACAATTAAATTGATATCGCTCTACTGACTGAAACTCTCTTCACTAAACGGACAAAATCGTACATACGTGACCATTTATAGATCTGACCATCCCGACAACACTTCCTATACCGGTTCTTGCATCCTTATCCATGAATCTTTATCCTATTCCCTTAACCCTTCCACTCCAACTGATGCCATTCAATTAACTTCTGTAATCCTTTCCGTCAAACATTTTCAGCTGTATACTGTCCTCCTGATAATTCCCTCTCTTATAGCCTTCTTGATTCCTTATTTCAATCCCTCGGATCGTGCTTTAATGCTGAAGGAGACTACAATGCTAAACACCAAAGATGGGGTTGTCTAACATCGAACTCCCGTGGTAACATCCTTTCACGTATTTCAACTTCCAACAGCTATTCTATCCTCTCCCCCATGAATCCTACGTGTTGGCCAACGTCCCAGTATATTGGATATATCTATCACCTCCCAGATTTCGTCTTCTCAAACCATAATCTAATCCCTAGACGACCTTTCTTCAGATCGTAGCCCAGTTCTGCTTTTACTACATTCAAGCAATGCTCTTAAACCCTCACATCCTACATTGATTACAGGACGAGTTAACTGGGACAGATTTCGTGATGATTTGGAAAATAGATTAGACTTTAAAATTCCGCTAAAGACAAAACAAGATATCGATGGTGCCATAGATAAACTTACAGCATCAATAACAGCCAGTATTAATAAAAACACCTGCACTAGTAAAGTTAACGATTCACAACAGACTAACTTGCCACAGCATATTCGTATCTTATTAAGGGAAAAAAAGCAGAGCAAGATCGAAGTGGCATAGAATTAGATATCCAACGGACAAAACACATTACACCCAACTGACTAAAAAACAAAATCAGAAATTAAAAATTCTAAATTTGATAACTTTTCCTGAAAAACGGACAACTAGCGACAAATCACTATCGACTACCACTAAGACGCTCCTAAAATTTAAAGATCACAATCATCCACCACTTACTGAACTTCAAATCTGACCAAGAAAAGCCCCAATTATTTGCTCACGACCTCTTCAAAACCTTTAATCCACATCCTGATATTCTTAATCCTAATCACCATCAATTTATTGAAGCAGAACTGGATATTCCACTCCAAATGACTCTTCCATCCTTTAGAAATATCCAATTTCATTAACTGATGACCTTCCTGCAAAGCTCCTGGACACGACCTTATTACTTCGA